TCTCTCGTGGGACGTAGGTGGGTTAAGTGTTAGGGCCAGTTCTAGATATTTTGAGGTCATTAAAAGCATCAGAAAGCCGGGAAACCCAGTCTTACCACCCTCTAAAATATTGGACTGTCCTGTGACGTCAGCTGGGGGTAGGATATTAATAAAGCACGGGATTTTCTTTTAAATATTGAACACTCATTATTCATTGTCATGCTGTGCCATTATATGTCACATAGTGCTCGCAGTTGGTTCCTCAGTTCCATTCTGCCTTTTGCAGTCAAGCCGTCTGCCTTGCGCTCTGAAGGTCGTGGGTTCGTTTCACTGCTGTTCGGTTCACGACTGCAATTTTTGCCGATATCCCTGGGCGTCGTCACAGGAGCTAAGGAGGTCGTTCTCTGTGAGAAGCTCTCGGTAGGCAGTTAGCTGTTCTACGAATAAAGCCTGAGCCGTTTGGGGTACAAATAGGTGCAATTAAGTCGATTCTCCAGCCTTTACCTTTAAATGTACAATCAGTTCAATTTCATGGATGTCCAGTTGAGCAGCTTAAGCCTATCTCACTAACTTTCGTCTTATGGTTTCTTTTGGGCGTCCTCACGGCCTTCTTCTTCTTCTTCTTCTTCTTCTGCTTCTTCTTCTCTTCCACCTTGTGCCTCATCGAAGTATCGGGGGGAGATGTAATGTTCGTTGATGGGCTGTGCCAAGAGCACTATTAAGACTGATGTTCATTTCTGTAAGGCTGTTCTTAATGCCATCACTCCATATTTTCCGAGGTCTTTCACTCGCTCTATACCCATTTTAACGTTTTAGTGTGGCTCGCTGTGGCAGATAGTACCAGGGTATTCTTGATAGGTGTCCAAACCACTTTATTTGTTGTTCTTTAATCCCTTTATTTCCCGTTATTGCAATGCCTGTGTGGCGATTATCTGCTGGTTTCTCCTCAGGATGTGTCCACCGTAACGTGTCCAGTATTGATCCTAAAGTCTTTAATGTTTTGGTCCCCGGTAGTTAGCATCCTTTGGATATTTTCTCCAGGGTATGCTAGTGTGTTGGGAAATGACGAGACAGATAGACTAGCTATTTCAGCACTATTTGGTGGTGAACTGATGTATGACAGACTGGATGTTGTGAGGTCCCTTTGGGAGCGAGTGAACAGTACCGAGGATCAGACAGATCATTACGGTCTGAGGAGAATGGTCTGAAGAGTTACAAGAGGATCGTGCCCACGCTCGAGATTCAAGAAAAAGGCGAGATGCATAAATAATCAGTTACTGGAAGCATTGAAATTTAGACTATTCCCTTGCTGTCGAGGGAGTTGCCGTGGCCGAGCGGCTAGACACTCGCCGCGGATCAGAAGGTCGTGGGTTCGCTCTCTGGCGAAACCGGACTTTTTTCTAAAATGACCTTGGCTCTCAGGTCGACCCAGCCTCGAGTGGGTACCGGGTGCAGTCCCGGGAAGTAAAGGCGGCCGGCGTGATGCTACCACCTCACCCATCTTGTGCGGATTGGTCTTTAAAAATATAGGTCTAGCCCTATATGTCATATACGCCTAAAGGCGTGGAAAATGGTCCTTTACTTTAATTACTCGCTGTTTAAGATGGGGACGGAGCGCCTATCGGGGTGTCCCGAGTGCTGTCGATTCTTAATTCAACATTCAACAAGTTTTTTATTTTCACTTCACAGGGCTGAGGACTCAGTCGGGGCTTTCGAAGAGCGTCTACTGGCCACGTTCAAACAGTACTACCCAAATAACCCGATGTTGTCGCGGTATCATGCCCCCGCCCGCAACCAGGTCTCAGTTTTATGGTGGCCAACCAAAGAGGCTTTGCTGTATCCTGAGATTAAGTTTGTGTAAGTATAAAATCTGTGTAAGAAAAAAATTCATGTAAGTACAAAATATGTCTAAGAAAAAAAAACTCATGTAAGTACAAAATGTGTGAAAGTTGAATGTTTAAGAATTGACATCATGGTACTAGGGACACTATGAATTACGTCATCTCCTTTTGGGGTGCAATTTTTCGTTATTTAGAAGCCATCACCCTCACTCTTGACAGGGGCCGCAATATAAATATGGCCTAACGGCTGAATGCGTTTTCCGGGACCTCTTCCCGGGTGATCCTCATCCGCATGGTGACACGTTGTGTCATCGGGTGTTTATCGCTTGTGTGATGTCCGGGTGGGGTAAAATGTGCTACTGGAGACACGCCCGTAAGTTCTTCGTCTCCATCTTTAGCAGCAAGCGAAGCGCTCCACTTCGGATGGTACCAATCGTTGTATGATTGTAAATCTGTCTCTCCTTTTCATTGAGTGTTGAGCGTCGTCCAGATCCCCTGGTAACTTCAGCATGTGCAAATGATAAATGTTTATAAGTACACCTTGTATGTATGTATGTATGTATGTATGTATGTATGTATGTATGTATGTATGTATGTATGTATGTATGTATGTATGTATGTATGTATGTATGTATGTATGTATGTATGTATGTATGTATGTATGTATGTATGTATGTATGTATGTATGTATGTGTGTATGTATGTATGTATGTATGTATGTATGTATGTATGTATGTATGTATGTATGTATGTATGTATGTATGTATGTATGTATGTATGTATGTATGTATGTATGTATGTATGTATGTATGTATGTATGTATGTATGTATGTATGTATGTATGTATGTATGTATGTATGTATGTATGTATGTATGTATGTATGTATGTATGTATGTATGTATGTATGTATGTATGTATGTATGTATGTATGTATGTATGTATGTATGTATGTATGTATGTATGTATGTATGTATGTATGTATGTATGTATGTATGTATGTATGTATGTATGTATGTATGTATGTATGTATGTATGTATGTATGTATGTATGTATGTATGTATGTATGTATGTATGTATGTATGTATGTATGTATGTATGTATGTATGTATGTATGTATGTATGTATGTATGTATGTATGTATGTATGTATGTATGTATGTATGTATGTATGTATGTATGTATGTATGTATGTATGTATGTATGTATGTATGTATGTATGTATGTATGTATGTATGTATGTATGTATGTATGTATGTATGTATGTATGTATGTATGTATGTATGTATGTATGTATGTATGTATGTATGTATGTATGTATGTATGTATGTATGTATGTATGTATGTATGTATGTATGTATGTATGTATGTATGTATGTATGTATGTATGTATGTATGTATGTATGTATGTATGTATGTATGTATGTATGTATGTATGTATGTATGTATGTATGTATGTATGTATGTATGTATGTATGTATGTATGTATGTATGTATGTATGTATGTATGTATGTATGTATGTATGTATGTATGTATGTATGTATGTATGTATGTATGTATGTATGTATGTATGTATGTATGTATGTATGTATGTATGTATGTATGTATGTATGTATGTATGTATGTATGTATGTATGTATGTATGTATGTATGTATGTATGTATGTATGTATGTATGTATGTATGTATGTATGTATGTATGTATGTATGTATGTATGTATGTATGTATGTATGTATGTATGTATGTATGTATGTATGTATGTATGTATGTATGTATGTATGTATGTATGTATGTATGTATGTATGTATGTATGTATGTATGTATGTATGTATGTATGTATGTATGTATGTATGTATGTATGTATGTATGTATGTATGTATGTATGTATGTATGTATGTATGTATGTATGTATGTATGTATGTATGTATGTATGTATGTATGTATGTATGTATGTATGTATGTATGTATGTATGTATGTATGTATGTATGTATGTATGTATGTATGTATGTATGTATGTATGTATGTGTGTGTATGTGTGTGTGTGTGCGTGTGTGTGTGTCTGTGTGCGTGCGCGCGCGTGCGCGTGCGTGTGTGTGTGTGTGTGAAATGTGTAAGTGCGAAATTTTTGTTAAGGACGAAATGTACGTAAGAATGAAATGTGTCATCATCATGTAGCAGGTCTTTTGCAGAACTTCGCTCTCATAACATTCTGCCTCAAAGAAATTTGGTCTCTCGTCAACTCTCACACCTTATGTACTTCTATACTCAAGGAGTCACTTATAGCATGTACCCATCTTCGTGTCGGTCGGTCCTTGTCCCTTCTTCCTAGTACCATGCATTCTGCTATTATTTTTTTCCCAATCCGCCGTGGCGCTTGATATGGCCAAAATATTTCAGCTTCCAAGACAGGATGCTGTTTATTAGCAAATCTTCCTTGATGTCCAGATCTTTCAAATATCAGTATTTCTCCTCTTCTTTGTCCAAAATATTCTTAAAATCTTTCTATAACATTTCAGCTCAAAAGCTCATATTCTCTTTCTTAAGGACTGAGAGATAGTCACATCCGTATATGAAATGTGTGTAAGAACGAAATATATGTAAGTACAGATGTTTGTAAGTACGAAATGTGTGTAAGGACGGAATATTTGTTTTGTACGAAATGTTTAAAAGTTCGAAATGTGTTAAGTTCGAAATGTCTTTAAGTTCAAAATGTGTTTAAGCTCGAAATTGTGTTCAAGAATGAACTGTGTAAAAGTGGGACACGTGTGTAAGTCCTTATTTTATAAATGTAAATACTCGAGTTTGTATGTATAAGTGTGTGAGTATTCATGTGTGTATGTATATATACGTGTATGAGTGTGCGGTAGGGGTGTATATTTAAATGTACGCATTAACCATTCATGCTTTTGTGTAGTATACTTACTTTTCATTACAATAATATAACATGCTTTGTGTGTCTGACTGCCTGCTTGTTTGTATACATGCCTTTCTGTCTATTCATAAGACAACGACAAACAAAAAGATAGCTTTCCAAAACGGCCACACCTTTTACTTACTGTAACGATGTTGTGTGTGCACTTTGTTCTGGTCTAGGGCAAATATTAAGTCTATGGGGAACTGGTTCAAGCTACAGTCAACTCCTTGGAAAGTCAACAGACCAGTGGACCAGTGGGCAAGTAA